ACTCTTTATATGCTTTATATATATATATTTGCTTTATATATATATAAATTTGCTTTATATATATATATTTCCTATCAAAATGATAAATTTCAATAAATTTTAAAAGTTCAAATTTAAAACACATCAGGAATATTAAGTATAATGTTGGTTAGGACAAGGGCTCCAGAGTCAGAGTCACCTAACAATCAAATGAAGTTTTAATGATACAACTAATTTCATAGGATTCTTTTAATGACAAAATGAAGCAAATTTCACAAAATATTTAGGATCATTCCTGGAATATAATAAGCTCAAGAAACATTAATTACTGCTATGATTTTATATATGTAATTTATAATAATATAACATTTGATAATTATATATTTTCATAGAGTTCTCATATAATTAAGTGACTTGAATTTGGTCTTTGTGGACATGGCAAAGGAAATGTCAAAACAAATTTGTTAAATAAGTTGTTGATTTTTAAAATAAAGCTATGGGAACATTAATGTATATGTGAAAATCATCATTCACAATTGTTCGAAGGTAGAAATTAATTTCAGCAATTTGATTCCCTTCAAGCTTACTCTTTGTCATATTGTTTCCTAGGTGTTACAGTGAACACCTATTCTTGCTTGGACCCTGGCATACCTGTACATGGCCGTCGCTATGGTCATGATTTCTCCATCGGATCTACTGTTTCATTTAGTTGTGATCCAGGATACAGGCTGAGCCATGAAGAGCCCCTTCTATGTGAAAAAAATCACTGGTGGAGTCATCCACTCCCAACCTGTGATGGTAAGAATTCATTCGATATGCAAAATAAGCTGATTTATAAACCAAAAAGAAATCACTATAGTCTTTGTAAAAGGTGAGGCTTAACATAACTATCAGTATTTCATATTTTTAAGTGAAATCTTGAATTTTGGCACTTTTATGTTATCTATTAATAAAGAAAAGAATGAATATTGATAATCAGCTAAACTTAACCTATGCCTAAGGCTGCTATATGTATTTTCAAATGTGCTAAGATAATTATTTTAAGTGCATATTTCATGCTTGGATCTTTTGACAAAATAGCATTGAAAATGTCAGATTGGTATCAGATGAATGCACTGAAGGGACAGAGCATTTACTTCCTGCCTGGGAAGGCAACATACACCAATTCAAATTCTGCCTACCTACACAGCACAATGGCAGTGGACACAAGATCTGGACAAATCTAATTATAATGGATGCTCCCCAAATTCTGCCTACCTACACAGACTGCCCTGTGGTGCCAAGTTTCTGGTTATGATGAATAGTATACCAGTGTCTGTGTTGCTTCTTCGTTTCGATGGAGAATAGAAACAAAAGACATGAAAATACATTGGAAGAAGCTACTTCCCTAAATTTGGGAAGTTCTTTCATGTTTGCTTTATCAAAAAGCATACACTGTAAATCTATGCAGTATTTAATTCTATACTTTTTAGCACTATTTCAAACTTCTGTGCTTATTTTTGTTCTAAATAGATCACATTGTTTATTTTATGATTAAATTTTCAAGTACTGTCAGTGTCATCATTTTTTTAAGAAACAGCTTTAGTTCAATTTGTTTTTATAACGAGGTTTAAAAGAATCATCTGCACATCTCCCCTGTGTTGGTGCAGTACCATTTATAATAGTAAGCATTCTTATGATTGTAAATGACAGAAATTCAATGCCAACTGCCTATAAAACATAAAAGCAGAATTTGTTGTTCAACTACTCAATCTTAGAAAAGGCAGAGGCAGAGGTGGCATACTTCCCATAACTAATTGTAATCATGAATTCAGACCTTTCAGGGATCTGTCCATTTTCCACTTAGACTTTGTTCTGTTTATTGACATAATTCTCTTCAATTGCAGCCAGTCTTTTTCCACATAGGAGATTGGCAGTAGAAAATACACTCTCAGGAAGATGGAAATGGATAGCCTCATATTATTAGGATCAGAGAATAATGAAAGTTTTTCCTTGTTTTTCCAATTAGAATAATCCCAGGAAAGGTCCCTGATCAGTCCGTACCTGGACCAGTTACCACAATAAAGGAGAAGCATCCATTATAATTAGACTTGTCCAGATCTTGTGTCCATTTATCCCTGTGATTGAGACAAATTATAGTGGTGTAAAAAGAGATATTATGTTTGCCGGGTCCTGTTAAAGGCACATGGTTGGCATGAGTAAATTCACCAAGATAGAAAAGTTTGGAGGCAATGTTATCCAAAGAAGCAGGGGGATACAAATAATGCCTAAGTATACCGACACACTTAAACTTCATTATGATAAAAGTGAATACATCTAATTTTCCCAGGAGCAACACAGATCCTCATCATCTGTCAGTGCGACTACAATCAACCTTAAATTTGGTCTCCAACTTTTTTCAGTCCAAACTCCATTTCATGTTATACCCCATGTCAAAAACACTTAATGGGTTTATGTTGCCTAGGGCTGAAAATTCAAACTACTAATCAGGGAATTTATAATCTTTAACCATGTGGATTCCATCCTTTCCAGTTCTGTCTCCTTTCTTCATTCTTACAAGTCATCTTTATTGAAAGATCAGGTCATGCCACTCTATCTTGATCCATTTTTCTCTTTTGTATTCCCATTTCATTCTGAGTATAACTGGACAAAAACTGAATTATATTTATTTATTTACTTACTTATTTTTACGGTCTGAGCTTTGTATAAAGCAGCTACTTAATTTTTCAAAGACTTGAACTAAATTCAACTATCTTATGACTTAGTAAACTGGTTTGATTAGACCTTTCCTCCAATCTAAACTTTCCTCCAAGAGGCAACTAATCTAAATTTCCTGAGGTAAAGGGAGGAAAAGTGAATAAGCAGTATTTATTTCCCTGATCCGAGAATGTAACCACTATTGGCCTAGATTGCCTAGATACTCAAGGTGCAGTATGTTTCACTCCACACACACTAGCTCTTGTAGTATCTTCGCAGCCCATAATTATTAGCTGATTCAAAAAGCAAACTAGATAATGAGGATTTCTGGCAATAACAATGACAGTTAACATGTATTGAGGATTTACCATGTGCTGGTACTGCTACAAGTGCTTTACACATATTAACTCATTTTATCTTCAAACTAACTCTATGAGGTTAAATACTATTATGATCACCACTTACGGATGAGAAAACTAAGTCAAACGAAGATTAAGCACCTTGCCCAGTGTCACCCCACTAGTTAATGGCCACCTAGATCCAGATCGCATACACAGGTCCACTGTTATACTGCTTCCTCCCACATTCTTCACAATAGTAAAATACTAACATTATTTAAAATGAAAGTATAATTATAGATTTGTTATTCTTCCCTCAGTGATGCCACATATTTATTCTAAGAATTTTGTATAAAAAATACATTTATATATACTATGAAAAAAAAAAAAACAAAACTGGCAGTCTAAAAAAATAAATAAATAATACATTTAGCCTTTAAACAGTTTATAGATTCTCTGTACTACTTGGAATGTGCAGCTAAAAAATAGGACAGTACCCTTTTTTTGCTATCAATTATGTCATGTAGAAAGAGTACTTTGATTTCAATTATATCTTCTGTATACTTACATTTCTGAGTAAAAATTGATTTTTTCAAAATTAATCTTTTTTTTTTATACTATCGACTAAAGAACTTTTAACCTAATCAGAAATGGTTCAGTTAGATTCTGCACAACTTAGATAATTTGATACCCGGTTGCCTCAACTCTTCTTCTCAGCATTGTTACTTGGAAGAATAAGGCCAAAACTCACACTTCTGGTGTCCTAGGGAAGCTGAGCAAGAATCAGAGCAGACAAGGCCATATAACACATCACAGTTCTTACTAGAAGCCCTTGCCCACGTCTAAGAGAGTTGCCACCTCCAAGTGGAGTAGAATAAGGAGTCAACATGTTTCTGCTTCCACTAGAATATACATTCTTACTTGGCTATATCTTTATTTCCTTTAATTTTTAATACAGATAAAATTATCCAACATTTCATAAACACTGATGGTTGTTAAATGTGGTAGAAGATATTGTAAACTGTGATTTTTTTCTAGAATAAATGATCATTGAATCAAATTTTAATTTCTTTGAACTCACTTCATAAACATTTATTTATTTTTATTGTGGAATATCTACTTAAAAATCTATACCTACTCAAAAAAACCTTTTGTTTATGATATTTTCCAGAGACATGTAGAAGTATAGAAGCAGGCTTCAAAATTTTCTCAGTTTACTTCACTATTTTAAAAGGAATTCTATGAAGAGTGGCAAATATCTCTTTAGAACTTAAAAGAAATAATTTTGTATAATTAACAATTTGTTTTCTTAAAGCTTAATAAAATATGAGCTACTAAACAATTAATTACTCATGTTTAATTTACAACCAGTTTATGCAAATGTTGCTTATTATTAGAAATGTATAAGGAAAGTAATGTACTTCAAATTTAATGTGGAAAGTTGAGCTACATTCTCTTGGGGCCAATATTAGTTCTCAGAGGCTATTACATACCTTTTTCTTCTCTCCTGCTGCAATGTATGAAATGATTTCCTAGTATAGGAAGAAGTCTACACATTCCTGTTACTACCAGGAAATATCTTAAGCTAAGAAAATCAGACTCGTTCTATTTTGAGAGAGGAAAGAAGAGGTTTGTTTAGCCTCTGCCTCTCTAACTATGGCTGACAATATGATTGTATTTCTTTGTATTTTCAGCATTATGTGGAGGAGATGTTAGAGGGCCTAGTGGAACAATCTTATCACCTGGTTACCCGGAATTTTATCCAAATTCTCTGAATTGTACATGGACTGTTGATGTAACCCATGGAAAAGGTAATTTGCCTCATATAATAATAATTGGTATATTCTGGATTTTTATTACATCTATTTTTATTGCACTGTCCTTTACAATGTCATTTTTTTATTAGCAAAAACAGACCAGTAGTAAAATATGTTATAACAAAATTTAATTTGAGTAATTGCAACAGGGGATTATATTTACTTTTCTGTAGTATTATAACGTGCTCATATTTTTACCAGAATGGTGATGAGAGGGATTTATTTTCTTTTGATATGTTCAACTAATGTTATTTGGAATTTTTTTATCAACAAAATCTCTGACTGAATGGCTTCTGTCTTTGGCATAGGGTTAAGAAGTTGATTTCAAAAGTTCAAAAGTTTATATCAAAAATACAAAGATGCTTTGAAGTGCTGAGCCAATTGTAAAACAAAAAGTACATGTTTATATATACTTGTTTTTTAAAATGTTTGATTATTTATTATAATTATATTACACATACAAATTTATTCCCATTCTAGGAATATTTGTGTCTCAAATATCCCTTGAACAAATAAATGAAAGGCTCTGTGTTTCTAAAAGAGTTCATTCATCTAATACAACCACACTAGTAAATTAACAGTGTGAGTTATTAAGGCAGTAACTTAATGGGAAAATGGTCACCCTAATATATCAAAAGCAAAGATGGATTGAAATTATTTACTAGAAAATCTGCATGTGCTAATCTTTCTAATAAAGAGTTAATTTATTCATTTATAAAACTACTTTAAAGAAGTAGTTTTTATTTTAGCTCTGTCGTTTTACTGTTCGGTAGGTTTTTACTATTATATTATACTTACTGATTTTGCTATAGGAAATGTTAAAAGAAAATCCTAACAGTGAGAAGATGATATTACAATTTTAAAAATTAAAGCTTGTGTTTAATACATTTGAATTCATTATGTTTTCACAAATGAAGCTTGCCTTAAAATTTTTAATTATGCATTATTTTATTGAGAGTGGGATTGTTATTATGAAATTAAATATTACTGAGAAGAAATGTAAAAGTGAATAATCTTGTATTGAACTACAAGAACAAGCTGGAATACTTTATAAAGTGAGGTTTTTGTTGTTCTCCATAATATAGGACTCTGCTGGAAGTTAACCAAAGCATCCTGTTATTCTTATGCACAGTGGATTAATGGAGTTTAAAATAAGCTTCCTTGAATTATCCAAGAAAATGGAAGGCTACATACTGCTTGCTATGTAAATAGAGGTTTAATTAACACTTAAGGTTTTGCATCTTCACAGGTTGCAAGTGTTAATTAAATCTGTATTTACATGGCAAGAAATGCAGATTTTTAGATGCCTTTTTTTTTTTTTATGAGCCAACAAAGTTTGTTGCAAGTACTATCGCAAAGTGTAGCAGAAGTTATGTGAAGGATATTCTCTCTAAATTGAGAGAAATCATCAAGGTAATATAATGTAACCTCTCATCTTGCATTCCAGTTTCTACAGTGTTCCAGAAAAGTATGATGAGCCGGCCCGATATTGATACTTTCCTTAACGGGAAACTTATGTCTTAAGAAAACTTGCTCAGTTTTTTTAGTTTTAATTGTTTGACAGTTATTCTGTAACTGTTATCCCTGTTCTACCCTCTGGAGTGAGAAAATAAATTAAACAAACAAACTATAATTTCTGCTCCTGCCTAAAGTTTTCCAAATATACCATCACAGTTCTGTGGACTCCCTGTTTTTCATGTTCACTACTCCCAAACTCTTATCTCAGTCTTTTCTTCCCAGACTAAACACTCCCACTTTCTTCAGTCTTTATAGTAAAATATTTCCATTATTGTCACCATTCTAATCGCCTTTCCCTGGATGTGTTTCAGCTTATTGACATCCAGGGATATTGATATTCTAAAGAATGTGTTTTTCCAGAACAAAATACAGTATGGCATCACCTAATTCTATTAATTATTCCCATTAATGAAACCTCTATTTGCTTTAAACTTTTTGGCTGCCATGGCTACTAATTCATACAATTATAGTTAACTGAATCATTTTTTTAGATTATTGGGACTTTAAAGTACAGTTAAGCCCAATTCCTAAAATTCTCCAATTGTACAATTTTTTCTCTTTAGTGCACATTTTTATATTCCTGTTATATTTTATCATATTAGCTTTTATCGCGAGTACCTGTGAGATCATTTTTAAATTATTTATATTTTATTTACATTTACATTATATAGTTAGAATTTTCTTAAATAATTGTGATCATCAAGACTTTAGGAATTTATAAAAATCTTAGATAGGACAAATCTAAATATCTAAATATTTAAAAACTTCAGACACACCATTAATGATCTCTTTACCACTTAACACTAGGTGAAGGTATTTGAACCCATACAAGTGTTTGACAGTTTCAAATTTAGTTAACTACAATATCATTTAGACTACATTGCTTCTTATTTACAATGGTACCAGAAGAGATTTCCTTAAACACAGTATAGCAATCAAGATGCTAATTATATGTAGTCTACTAGAGACCTTGAGGAAAAAAAAAATCCACATTAAAATGAAAAAGCCTTAGACTTTTAGAGGTGGGTTGTCCTTAGATAAAGTATAGTCCAATCTTACAAGTTTAAAGATGGGAAAAAACATACATATATGAGTAAGTATGGCACTCTCAAAGTCATAGTTGATAGCATAACAATAACTAAAACGCAGATATTCATATTTTTCCTTTAAGCCTAAGTCTTTCATATATGTCTATAACATAAATTGCTTTAATTGGGCTTCTTGAATAATTACTCTTATAAGAAGGTACCATGATACTGAAACAACTGACTTTTCCTCACTATTCCTCAAACACCCATTTCTCTATTAAGACTGTGTCTTTGCCTATCTGTCCTTGTTCCTGAAATGTCTATTCCTCCACAAAATTTGCTCACTTTTGAAGGTCACTGCCCTCAGAAGACTCTGTTGATTCCTGTGACAAATTAGTTACCTCTATTTCTATGCTTCAGTATTGACTTGTATTAATCATTTTTATAGCACTTAGAGGAATGTTTGAAATTTTAGTTTATGTATCTTTTCCCTTAAATTATGAGTTATTTATAGTCTTCTATATCTTTGTATTCCATAATGCCTAGAATATAGTTAGGTTCTTAATATCATTTCTTAATTAATCAATTGATCTTTAGAAGAACTTTGAAGGTCTTACATTATTTTGCGGTAGTGAAACAGACTTTAATTGTTTAAACCATAATCTGATAAACAGAAATTCCTTTTGTAAAGTGGCCAGTTAGGACTGAGGCATGAAAAAAAAAAAAATAGCTTTCATGTTGAAGCATTCAACAAAAAAACATAGCTAACAGTTGTTTAGCACTTCCTCTGCAAAGCACTGTGCTGAGTGCTTTGCCATATATTATCTCATTTAAACTTCAAGAGACCCCCCCTTCTGAAACCCCATTTTACAAATAGAGAAAATGAGATTTAGAAAGGCTATGTACCATTTGACAGTGGGCCTATAACTACCACTAACAGAATTTTGAATTTTTCTACGTATTAAGTTACTACACATCAGAACAAGCACATTTTAAAAAATATATATAGCTTGTATGCCTAATGAGTTTTTCCTTGTCTTTTGTCCATCTACTCTCCTGTTATCTAACTAGCTTTTCTTAGTTTTACTCTATAAAAGAAATCAAATTGACTTACCTGAATTTCTACCGTTTTATGATTTTTGTAAATTTTGATAGCCGGTAATCTAGATGACAAAGCATCTTCTCCTTGCCATATTGACATCCCATTTACATCTGGCAGGTGGCACTTACCACTTTCACTGAAGCACATTTGAAAGACTGACTCAATTTCTGGACTTCTTCTAAAAGAGGTTTTATATTCTTGCCCACTGGGGAGAAAAAATAAACTGTTACATTTTGAAAAAGAGTTTGAAAATTGTATCATTGTATATTTTAAATCTTTTCCAAATAAAAATTACTGGTCCATTATTCATTAATAACATTGTCTTATTGTTGTTTGTGTTTTCAGTTTGTTTTGGCCTCATTCTATATCACTTTTTGTTTTTTTAAAAGGACTGCAAAGAATATCTAGCATTTGGAACTAAAATGTAGATGAATAATATTTAGAAAATGTCACTTACACTGGGTTTTTGGGGTTTTGAGTAAAGATTTTGGTGATTTTTTAGGTCAATAAGAAAGATAAATCAGTCAAGGCAAAAGTGAATGTGGTAGTAATTATTTCATTTGAGACCTTACAGTGTGGTGTGTGTGTGTGTGTGTGTGTGTGTGTGTGTGTGTAACTGTAATTATTAGCCTTTTACATGTGTTCTAGACAATATCATTAAAAACTCACATGAGACCACAATGCAGTGCCATACCATACTCACCAGAATGGAACAAAAGAAAAAGCCAGATATTTTCAAGTATTGGTGAGGATACAGAGCAACCAGATTCTGCAATGGAAATATTAACATTGGTATAGCTACTTTGTAAAACATGTAATTTACCCATAACTCATTTACTTATGACCTAGTATTTACCCAACAGAAATAAGCACACATGTTCTTTAAAAGATATACTTGAATATTCTTGGCAGTACCATCTACATTTGTTCTAAAATGCAAACATTGACTATCAGCTATTGAACAGATAAATGAATGTGGTGTATTCACAAAATGAATTGCTATACTATATGCCATTAAAAGTAAGCCTATACAATTACACACAAAAATAGAGATGAACTTTACATATATAATGTTAAGTCAAAGAACCCCGACCCCAAATAGTGCATCTTATATAAATCCATTGTATAAACTACAGGAACATTTATATAATGTAGTAAAACTGATCAATGCTATTAGAAGTTGAGTGAGTGGTTACTTTTGGCTAAGTGAAGTGACAGAAAAATTGAATGATGGGAGCTCTGGGTGTTAGTAATGTATCTATTGATTTGAGTGCTGTTTACAGAGGTATGCTCAGTTTGTGAAAATTCAATGAGTTGAACACTTATAGTGCATTTTTCATTATGTTATATGTACAGGTTGATGTATGTGAAAAACAAATAAATGGAAAGTCATTATATTCGTTTAACACATAGTTTTTTCCTATACTTGCTTTATAGTTCTCTTCTAAAGTACAGTTAAGCATTTTTGGAAGTTGGGTGTATGTTGCTTGAGGGGGTTGCAGAAGGAATTAAAGGAGACATGTAAAATGTTCACCAGAAAGTTGCACTTATATTATAAATAAAGAATATACATTTTTCTTTAAATTTTTAGAAAACTTGGGTTATTTCTTTTCAGGCATTGATTTTTAAATTTTATTTCCAAGCAGTTTTCAAGACATGTCTCACTATATCTCTTAAAAAGAAGGAAAAAAAAAAAAGGGAAGATAATATTATCCTATACATTTGGAATATTTTGTAGCAGTTCTTTTCATTGTCAGAGAATTTAATTATAAGGAGAGTCCTGGTTTTTGTTAGTTTGGTAACTGTGTTTTACCGATATAGTTTGTGAATCTAATTTTCTTGTTTTTCTTAATAGGTGTGCAGTTCAACTTTCATACCTTTCATTTGGAAGACCATCATGACTACCTGCTTATCACAGAGAATGGTAGTTTTACCCAACCCTTGGCACGCCTGACCGGTTCAGAACTTCCTTCAACAATCAATGCTGGTCTCTATGGAAATTTCAGGGCTCAGTTGCGCTTCATTTCAGATTTTTCAATATCATATGAAGGGTTCAATATTACATTTGCTGGTAAGAAAATAGACAAATAGAAAGAGCTCTTTTGGTTTTTAAAAAGATGATCATAACTTATGTATGACAAAACAGAGAAAGCAAAATAACAGAAAAGAAGATAAACAGCAAAGAAATAGCTGTCAACAATTTTTTAAGAAAAGTTTGAAATACCTTGAAGAAATAAATTTCTTAATATCCACTAAAAGTACATTATTACATTTTTTAACTTGCCCTCCTGCAGAATTCTAAAATAAGGCAAAACTAGTTAAAATGCCTAGTGAGCTTAAAATGGAAATTCAGATATATATTTTAAAGTTTCAATTAGACAAAAATGAAATGTAAATTAAACCGGTGATATTCTAGTTGTATGTATCTTAGAAAAGACGTAGTTTACAGGCTAAGATTCAGATAAACTTAATTTATTCATTTGAAACTAGATGATCTAGAAATAAATTAATGTGGTCATTCTTTTACTCCAGAATACCTCATATATAGGCAAATAAAATTTATAAGACCAAAATGAATAAAATGTATTCCCATCAGTTAGAGTTCTACTCTCTAGTTAAATGGAATAGTGAGAAAATTAGTTATTTCTTAATAAAGAAACAATAAGTAAATTTTATGTCAACTTGCTAATGTTAAAATTGTAATATTATAAATATACATAAACATCATACAGATGCAGACCTTGTTCTTCAACTATTATTCTAGTATTCATATAGAAATACTTGTCTTATGTAATTTAGGTATTCCATAATGAATAATAAATGAGCATAAACAATTTTAAACTAGAATATTAAAAGTATGTCCAAATAAATTTTTTAAACAATGTAATAATAGCTCATCAACATGAACAATTTATCTTGCTCTCCATTGCAATTATATCATAAGTGCATACCTGGGAAAATTTTTAGATAAGCTACTTTTTCTCAGGATGGTATATAAATTATAATATTGTTGTTTAATCAACTCTCTCATACTCTAAAGAGTATAAGCTGTTCATTTTCATTGCTCCAGGGAATTTTCTTGTACATATCTGTAATATAAAAATTTTCAATGTGTGAGCACTTCAGTCTTACAGAAACCTTTGCATCCAAAGTCAGGTGTTTTTTAAAATATAGATTTATTGAACTTGTATACTGGAGGCAAAAGAGCCTTTGTCATTTAGACTAAAACCATTAAGTGAAATGCATTTTCAAAGTGCAAACGGTTTCATTCCAAATGTTATGTTTTTTGAAAGTATACATCTATTATGCCATTATTATAAGTCAAAATGTATTAAATGGAAATGTTTTTAATTCAGAAGAAAGAATATGAGATAAACAGCTACATTTTAAATTTATCACTGAGAAGGTGACATTTTCTCTTCTATATTGAATTTCCCACATGAAAGCATTCATTAAGTTGTTAGATCTTTAGCAAAAGAAGAAAATCATGTATGCCATTTGCATTTTTCTGTAATGATACATATAGTCACTTTTTAAATATATGACTAGATCTTAAAAGCATTCAGTTTGCAAACAGTAAGAATATACCCTAAAAGCGACTACTACTATCATAATTGTCATCCTCCTCTCTACTTAATTTACAGAATATAACCTCGAACCTTGCGAAGATCCAGGAATTCCTCAATATGGTAACAGAATTGGGTCCAGCTTTGGGGTTGGTGACACTCTGACCTTCTCATGCTCATCAGGTTATCGACTGGAAGGGACATCAGAGATCATCTGTCTTGGTGGTGGCCGGCGAGTGTGGAGTGCACCTCTGCCAAGGTGTGTGGGTACGTGGTCAGCTGCTTTCATTTGCTTGTATGTGTAGTCACTGTTCATGGAGTTGCATGGTTATACACCCTTCGTTTTTTATAATCTGTTGAATTTCTTCATTTATTTCATATTAGTTATTTCAATTTTGTTTTCCACTTGGCAATCTGGGATACCTAAGTTAACTTCTCAACTTCTCCATTCAGGCAACCATGCTTCTAAATTTGTTTTCAGATGATAGGATAAGGAATGAATAGAAAGATGGATAGATGATGGTGCTAGATAGATTGGTAGGTAGATAGATGATAGATAGATAGATAGATAGATAGATAGATAGATAGATAGATAGATAGATGATAGATAGATGATCAGTAGAATGAATCATAGAGAGCTTAAGATGATAGAGATGATCAGTAGAATGAATCATAGAGAGCTTACCAAAAATTTTTATGTTCTGTTGATAGATGATCTTCCATGACTTGTAATTGAAGTTATGACAATATTTTATAATTTAAAATTAACATGAATGAAAGATGATTACAAGGAAAAATGTGTCAAATAATAAGATAATTTAAGGGCAATCAACGTGGGTATTGACTCGATATGTACAATTTATATAATCTATTATTTAATATTAACATGGCAATTTATTTGAATAGCAATAATTAAAGTATTGAAAGTTTGGCTCCAACATCTCAACCCTTGGAAATTTGTAGAGAAAATGAAGGGATTTTTTTATTAGGAATTAAGTCATTCCCTATTTAAATTAGGAAATAGAGAGGCAAGAATTTCTTTAGATCATCAGCTATTCAGGGGTTATCAGTACTTATTTTTATGATAGAACAAGATGCACATAGTCATTTTATAATTATTTTATAAAGCTATTAAAACTCAAAAGCATGTAATTTATAATTAATAAATTTAATTGCGGGTCACAGATCTGTAAATTATAATATGTTATAAAATCAGGCAATTAGATAAGTTTTTGTTCTGTGGTTCAAGAACTTGTCCTTTTCTATGGAGGCCTCAGATGAAAATTAAATGAAGAGGATACCTTCTGTGTCTTTTTCAATATATTGTCCACTTCCTGTAGATCCCCAAATTAAGTCAAAAAATGATCTAGGTTAAAGTGGGTCTGAAAGCTTTTATAGTGATGAAATTGTTTTCACAGACCATATGAGTTATGTAACAGATAAGTTGATATGTAACAGATGAAACTTCTTTTCAGAAAAAATCACACGCTTTTATAGAAATGACACAAGAAATTATAGATGCTTAAAGCTGGAAAGTGATGCTCAGTCTCAAAACATCTTTTCCAGGAAGCTCCGTAAGGTGCAATCCTCCTGTTTTGTTTTTGTTTTTGTTTTTCCCTACTGTTGCCAGACTTGGAATTCCCCTAATTATTAGATTGCCTCCATTCCATTTTTGTTTGATATGAATATTTTCAAAGCCCAATTAATGAGAACCTTGGAAATAGTCCAAGTAAGGGCTGCAGAGTGCCTGGGTTTACGTCCTAGTCATTTGATATTAGGTTAATATACTTTTCTAAACTTCATTTTTCTCATCTGCAAAATGGTTACAAGAGTAGCACCTAATTCATTGTTAAGAGTTGGAATTACAAGAGATTAGCTATGCCAGTGAGACAGTTAGTACACTCCCTAGAACATAGGAAGGATTTAGAATTTAGATGTTATTAAAACTCTTATTTTGAGTATAATCTGCTTTCTGTCCAGCCCATCAATCTACTTTATAATACCAATTATAGTAAGAAATTAATTGCATTTCATAAAACACTAACATTTATGAGGTTCTAGTAGGCCCTTTCATATGTTATCAGATTTATTCCTTACTACAATCCTGTTATTATTCCTCTCATTTTTCATCAGAAGAACCCGAGCCTTAGAATTAAATAACTTGCTCAAAATCGTGAAGGTTGTAAGTAGCAGAACCATGATTTGTATACAGTCTTTCTCATTTGAAAACCCAACTTTTCCCCACAAATGGTTGTATCTCAAAATGGTCTAAGGAAAGGTGAATCTCAAAGGACTCTAAGTCATACAGAGTTAACTGATATTTTTTGCCCAAGGTACCACATACATAACAAGTGGTTACACAGGCTGTGAACAAATTCTTGCATGTATATTTTTAAGATTTACAATGGATTTATGAAAACCTGACTTTGTAAAAAAAGTAATTTGAAGTTAGTTTTGTTTTATTGTGTTTTTTGTTTGTTTGTTTGTTTGTTTGTTTAGAATAGCTTTATTCGTGCCTAAATCTTCAATGGGAAGGATGAAATAAAATCACACTGGGGGCAAATTTGGAAAGCAAAATTAGTGGGAATTTTTCCACCATTTCAAATTAGCTGTGCTTGCTTTTAAGCTTATTGAAATTTAAAATTAAGTCTGTTGACCTTAATAAATTCCACTGCAGGTATACATTGAAGTTATAAAATGAAGAAAAATAATTCTTAGATAAAATTACTAAAAATTTTACTTCTCTAATTTTTAAAAACAAAATTTTCATTACTTTGCCTATGATTTAAAACAAATGTTTCTGGATTTCTGATTCCATATACACATACATTTTTTATATTAATATATGTATATATTTTTTTCTATTTTGTTATCTTTTCAAAGTTCACAGTCTTTGGTCACATAAAATGCACATGGTTTATAACTATTCATATGAACAGACCCAATTTTAGCAATGTGAGTTTATTTGGGCAAGTTTTATTTCTTAGATTCTTTATACATTTTATTTCATATATCTCTAATGCCAATTTTTCATTCCATACTAGCTTAAAAACCACTATTTAGTCAGCTTAGCCAGCCTCATAGGAAACTTATGTTATAATGGTGAAATTACAAGTAGGTTGCATTTCAAGTTTGCCTCTGTTTTAGTTATTTGGAATCTGATGATCTTTCCTTGGCATAGGTTGCAAATGGTGGAGACATTCCCAGAGCAAACAACAGATGAGGTTTTAAATTTTATCAAGGGTAAAACTAATACCAACATTTACTAAAATGACTTATGTATACATAGATTATATAAGAAGTTATCTGATAGTAAGGCAACTGTTAAAGCTAATTTTGGAAACTTACTTTTTTGTTCATTTTTCTTTGTTTATGCGTGTTTAATTTTGATTCAGTTTAGTGTATAAGTTGGTTGATGTTTTTAAGTGTCTGTTGGTAGAATTTGGTCAAAATTATCTTACTTCTGGATGTTAGATGGGTAATGAGTAACATTTTTGTTTAAGCAATTTTCTGAGTAACCTCTGTGTTTACATTTTAAGGTGGTATATCAACAAAGATTAAAATATAATAATACCATATTATAGTCTGTACACTCTATAATGGATTATATCATGTAGTATCTCATCCCAAAAATCTTCCAGTGCTATGAATGTAGGTTTAGCATAGCTATCTGTGAAGACACAATGTCTATAAAAAACTCAAGGTTGCACACAGACTTAGGGACAGAGCCTTGACTGTCATCATATTCTGAGCCCCAGGATTGTGCTTGGTTCACAGTGACGCACCTCTATCTTTTAATGAAAGCTTCAAAAAGTTGGGAGGAAATCTGGCCTTAATAATAGTTGACTTATGGCTTCAGAGAATTCCTTATACTGTCCTCTGTTTCATCTGGGGAAAACTTCTTCAGCCACAACTCAGTTATCCAGAGTTACTTACGTACAGGCAGATTTACAGAGGCAGGCAAAGAATCTTGATAGAAGTCAAGAGCATACCTCCCTCACAGAAGCAGAAATTCTTCTCCCTAAGTAGTGGCGTCTATATCAGGCACATAGCTCATATTTACACTCCAGGGTTTTCTAAGCTGTGTGACCTTTGGGAAGTGGTTCAGATCTTTTCCCTGCCAAGTTTCCTCAAAAGTAAAATGTGAATAATCACATTCGTGATGCAAGATAGCTTATAGATCTAAGCATTGAAGGACGTATAAATCACTTAATGCACTGCACAACACATGACTCTTGCACAGCAAACTTCAGTCCCTTTTCCAAATGTGTTGCAACTGTCTCCAATGCTATATATTTAATTTTCCTGAGAGTCACAATATAAGATTGCAGTGAGAAGTGATTTTCACAAACCAGCAGGAGAGGAAAGAGTAGAAGAAAGAAGGAGATAAAAAAGTTTGAAGGTTCTATCAGCAGCTAAGTAATTCTCATATATAATTTCATTTACTACTTAGAGATGAAGCTAAAAGTTTTACCTTTAAAAAATACATATGTATTATTGTTTTACATTTTGGAAAAGAAATATAATTAACAAGTAAAATGATATTTTAGTAAAGATTCTTTATGTTTAAGTGATTGTCCTGGAGAGCCATGTTTCTATGGAAATGAATATCTGGTCACCTTTTTAAGTGGCAACCAAAAAGCCAAAAGAAAAACAACTGCAACACAAAAAGGTTAAGAAAGTTGATTACTTTTAAAATAAGAAACACTGTCTTGTTTTTGTTCAAGAAATAAGTACCTGATTTCCTTTTGCGAAGTTCACATTACAAAAACACCAGCATTTCCATTGTAATATTTTGAAATCAAGAAAAAGCTTGCATGCCTTCACTCAGCCTCCAAATATACCAGAAACCAAGCCAGGTCGTGCTGCATATAAACAAGGAGCTAATGAAAGGGATGTCTGGAAATAGATTTGAAAGTTAAATATTAGTAATGATTTGTTTTTAGGCAGGATTCTACACATTTAAGAAGCCCACACATTTTGATGTCATTTTAAAAACATTAATCCATTCATCCTCGAAGTCCCCCATTTAACACATTTAATTCTGTTTCTAATTTTATGTATTATTAATTTTTTATCTGACTTTAGACAAATAACAACATCTTGCTTTAATCATAAATCAAATAAAAAAATGAAAACTACATGGCACATCTATGTATCTTTCTCACCTTTATGACTTTTTAGATGATATATGCTGATCAGTATTTATTATTTAGTTTAAAAATAAATGTTAATAGGGGAAATAGGGTATAGCATATATGAGGGCT